AAAAGAAAAAACAGACAAACTGAACTTTATGAAAATTAGATCTGATAAAGAGATTAGTACTCAGAATATACAGAAAACTCCTACATTCAAAAGAAAAAAAACTGATTAAAAATGGGTAAAAGACTTCACTAGACATTTCCCCAAAGAAGATATACAAATGACAATAAGTACACGGAAACCTGCTCAACATCATTAATCATTAGGGAAATGCAAATCAAAACTATAATGAGATGCCACCTCATACCCATTAGTATGGTTATTACTCAAACACAAAAACAAAAAAATTAAAGTGTTGATAAGGATGTGGAGAAACTGGAACCCTGGTGCACTGTTAGTGGAAATAAAAAATGATGTATCTGCTATGGAAAACAACATGACAGATGCTCAAGGGATTAAAAATAGAACTACCATATGATCCAGCCATTCAATTTCTGCATATGTATCCAAAAGAAATAAAAGCAGGGTTTCAAAGAGATATATGTATACCTTTATTCACAGCAGCATTATTCACAATAGCTAAAACATGAAAGCAACCCACATGTCCATTGACAGACAAATGGATAAGCAGAATGTGGTTTACATTGTATTAGTTTATATATATATAACATATATTATGTTATATTATGCAGCCTTAACAAGAAAGGAAATTCTGCAATATGCTACCACACCAGTGAACCTTGAGGACATAATGATGCTAAGTCAAATAAGCCAGTCACAAAGAGACAGATATTCTAACATTCCACTTGTATGAGGTCCCAAGACAGTCATAATCACAGGCAGAAAGTAGAGCAGTGATTGTCAAAGGACTACAGGTGGGGGAGAGGAGAATTACTGTTTAATGGGTATAGAGTTTCAGTTTTACAGCTTACAAGATGAAAAGAGGTATGGAGATGGATTGGTGAGGTACATAATGTTGCACAATATTATGAATGTATTAAAGAACCCTGACCTATATATTTAAAAATGGTTAAGATGTTCTCAGATTTAAAAATACATAGGCACCAAGAACAAAACTCCTGAGCCAGATGGATTTACCTCGGAATTTTATCAGACATACAGAGAAGATATAATACCCATTCTCCTTAAAGTTTTCCAAAAAATAGAAGAGGAGGGAATACTCCAAACTCATTCTGTGAAGCCAAAA